CTTTCTTCTAGAGAGCGTAAATAAAAAGTGCAATATTTGAATGAAATTCGACTGAACTTTCTTTAATTTTGCACAAGGTTTGGAACTTTGATTTTTGTTTTTGTTGTAGAATTAACCATATTTTTATAAACAATTAGCCAAAAATAAAATATTTAAAAAATAGTTGCCCATATTGTAAAAAATCGCTGTACCTAAACTTTATTGACTGACTGTATATTTATGTATATACATAGAAATGTACATATGTACATGTAGTTATAGTATAATGGAATATCTGCATGTTATTTTGTTCCGTAATAATTGCATTTTTTATTATAATAAGGATAATAAATGAAACATACTGCGTATATCTACTTAACATTGAATAAAGAGTAAAGTGGAGGTCTGCTGAAGAGAAGCAGGGACCGAAAATAACAGGCCAAATATTTTTCAAGTCCGAAATGAAAGTGATTTCCTGATAATATACAAACCGCTTATCGAAATTAAGTATAAAATGAAAGAGGACAGAAATAGCTTTTAAACACAAATAACGAACGAAGGTTACCACCTCCATCTTGTGTAAAAGCCCGTTCCTTTAGAAAAAGTTAAGCTACCAATGAAGAAAATCGATATATAAATAAGAAAGTAATGATTAAGTAACGAAAATACGCAAAGATTTTTTTTGAAGAAAAAGTGTTACTCATACGCCACATACACCTTGAGCTCGTGGCCATTTTTTTAATGAAAATTTTTTGTGGAAAAGCAACAATAATTTGAAAAAAAATGGTATAAATGATAGCTATTTCGGAAATCACCACATTTCGTCATCAGACTTCTTTCAGTAGGATTCGAACCGACGATCCCACTGACTCAGCCAGTTGCCTATGCACCGTAATAAGTACGCCTTGTAAATTATCGTTTGCTTTTTTCCACTATTTTCATTTTTGTTATGCCAACACAATCAAGCGCAGCTATTCCGCTGCAATTCACTTCATCATGTGGTTGGTGGTATTGTTGGTTTTTGCTTATAATTATATTTTTAGAATGTTTAACTTTTTAGGTGTGCTCGTCCTTAAGTTAATTACGGTAAACTGAATAAGGGTAATTTCCAAATATCTCGAAAAGTTATCCATAGAAAAAGAATTATCTCGCTTTCCGGAATCACCGGGCAATTCTACATAAGAATTGGACAGTGGCATCCATAGAACATTTTTGCTGTAAACCAGAATAATAAGTATGATTTGGGCGTCATGCAAAGGTACACACATATAGAAAAATACCACGCAGATACTCCATTATACTGAAAAGTGTACGCTTGAAATATTCTTATATTCGTTTCAAATGAATATAATTTTTTTGCAGTCTCACATATATGTATGTATGTATGTATCCTCTGTAACAAAGTTCATAGTCAAAGCAAAGGGGAAAAAACATCTCCTTTGCAATGTCCTTGAAGTCTATTCAGACTACCGGAATCGCTTTTTCTCATTTATTAGCGCCCGACATCGGCAATTTCCGGACAACTCGTTTTTGAGTCGCGAATGAAAGACAGCGCATTTCGAATACTAGCGATGTGATGTTAAATCTGTATGCATTTTTCCTTCGCGATAAAAGAAGTGCATGCCAAAATAAAAAACCATATTGCATTTCCTATGTCCATGAATACTTTTTGTTTATTTCATTATTAAAAATTGTATGTAAATACATTCATATGCATGGACGTATTCACAGCGATTAAACCAAGTATTTGAAATTTATTGCGACAAAATAACAAAATTTAAAAATACCTGAAATAATCAGTATACCTAACTGAAGGCAATTGGAAATGCCAAGTGAAACTTTACTTTATTTACAAACTAGATATTATTTTCATTTCTTGAAACTGAGTTTAAAAATAATATACTGTCACGACCTTAGGAGCTAGGCGATTGCGTTTCTCGACTATTACATTACCTGCAAGTGAAAAAGTGCGCTCACTAGCTGCACTACTAGCTGGTATTGATAATATTTTAAATGCTAAGCTAGAAAGAGTTGGAAACTCAAGTTTTTCGGTTTCCCTCCATTGCATGGCATCAAAATTGCTTTCATATTGTGTTATTTTTTGTGAATACTTCTCAATTTCCGCAGTTAATGTTAAAGGTGTACACGGATTTTGAGGGGTTATTGCATCTGGGAAGAAAAAATAGTGACCCGTCGGCGGGGTTACCTCAGCTAAATTTTCTGGGGAATTTTCTGTATTTATAGTTGTGTCGATAGGAAAACAATCAGTTTGGGGTATATTGCGTTGGCAAAAGTCTTTAACCTCTGCGATTGAAATTGAGTCTAAAACATTGTTAGTAGGAGGATAGAGGAAAACTGCTACCTTATGCCGGATGTCTAGGTTAGGTATCAATTTTTGGTCTATTTATTGCAAAATATTTGATTTCAAAACTGAAATAGGAACAGGGAAAGAAACCAGGAGGTATTTCGCAAATTTTCTTAAGACGTCTTATCGACAGATATACGTAAGAGATTGTCACGTATTTTGAGCCTTCAAGCTTTTTGGAAATAATTTCAAAATTCTCACACAACTTCACCAATGATTGCAAAATATTAAAATTAATATTTGACACTTTTTCCAACTCTGAGTTTGCAATCAGCTGTTCTTTGATTTTTTCCTAATTGTCACATATTGATTTAAACATATAATAATTAGAGTTCCAGCGTGTTACACAAACATTTTTCAATGTTGTATCTAGAAATGCTGTAAATTTGCTTTTTTAAAATATTTCACTAACTTTTTACTATCAATTCATAACTTTAATTCTGCAGTTGAATCAAATGCTGCTTGTAGAACATTTGCAAATAAATGGTTGCAGCAATTAAGGCGTGTATTATTTTCTAACGCCTTTTTCATATTTGAGCCTCTGTCGGTGATAAAAGTAATTTTATCATAGCTTGTAATACCAAACTCAGATAAGATGCTTTCAAGCTTAGCTCGAATATTCCTGCCGGACGACCTTTCAAAATCAAGGGTTTTGGCCCCCAGTACAAACTCTTCAAATATTCCATTGTAAAAAAGTGTATGGTTGCACATAAGAAATTTCCGTTTGTAAAAGTCTCACACCACATATCAGCAGTAACGGAAGCACGTCCCGCATTTACAACACTTTGAAGTTTTCTCTGAATTTCTTCTTTTTTCAGTTGCAGTCCGAGTTATATTCCGGGAGATTGTTGCTGGATGAGAAATCAAATCGTCAACATCTAAGTGCTCTCCAAACTTGTGACCGATTTTAATAAGGTCACGGGCTACATTCTTAAATCCGTCACCATTTAAGGTTGCAAACGGTCTGCAGTCTGCTATCGTCCAATTCACACACGAAAGAAATCTATGCAAAAAAAAAGTTATGTACAAAAAGCTTACATAGCACTTTTTATTGTGTTTACTCTTTTTTTGTCCTTGTCCTACTTGTACGAAGAAAATGGCTTTAGTTTTCCTTATGAGGCATTTGTGGTTTGCGTTCCGCTATGCCGCACAATAGCGTCGGATTCACGGCAGCATACAAATTCTTTAATAGCGCATCCAATATCATCTTCTATTTCACAAAAAACAGACCACACTTCACTACGACCCATGATGCAATAATGAAAGGTGTTATACGTTGGCAACTTCTCGCTCTAATCCGCCATCTTGAACTACCTTAGGAGAAACTGTGTTGTTTCTTTGCTAATTTCACTGAACATTTCCCAAAATATTAGAAAAAAATTCTAAACAAGCCACATTGATTCAATTTTCGTTGCTCGTTTTGTTCTTATTCGCTGACATTTGTTTTCTAATTGCTTGAAATTTGGTAAGTATTGTAATAAAACCGAATTATTTTACAAATTAATTATAATTTTGCATTTATTAGGTAATTTCCTTAGTGTTTTCCTGGCCGACCTGTGCTGGTATTGTAATTAAGAGCTAATACACGTAAGTTACAACATATTATTTTGACTTCATTGATGAAACATTCCATTTGCAGCATTCTCTGGTGAACTGCAGCTGCGGCCGAATTTGATTGTGTGCATCATCCTGCAGATATTTTGAAGTAAGTTGGAACCAGCTCTTTGTTATTTCAAAACCTAATGAACCATTTATTTGCAGATTCTGCTGTGCTGCGTTCCTGCTCCGCCCGTGTATTGCTCCGCCCGTGTTTTATAGTGTTGCGTCCCAGTTGCGCCTTTGCATTAGTGTGTGCGTTGTGCTTTAGACACGTTGAAGTAAGTTGAAACCAGGTTTTTGTTTGTTAAAAACCTAAAAAGCCATTCATTTGCAGATTGTTTGTATGCTTCTGCTGTGCTGCGTTACTGCTTCACCCGTGTATTAAATTGCAGCGTTCCTGTTAATATAAGCATCGTCGTTTAAGTACAAAACCGCGTAACTGACATTTGCTGCTAAAAATTGGATTTGCTCACACAAGTTCTTGGCTCAATCCTTATCCATTCTTCCTGATACATACTAGCCAAAAATGCGATTGCTTTTTAAAAAAAGATAAAAAAATCAAAGGTAATTTTTAGCCACTTCAAACTTGCATATAATAAGACTAAAATTGAAGGGGCTATAAAACTGAGTGCTCAAAAAATTCTAAGACTTCTGAGAAAAAAATGTGAATTTTGGGTGAAAATTTGTTGTATTTTTTGTAGTTTTCTACGAAGTTTTAAAATTCGGTTCTTATGGGTTTTGTTACAAATTGAACTTTATTTTTATTGTAAATTCTTAGAAATAAATTAACATGAGAGGGAAATAATATCACTTTGAAATAGGGTTGCTATTGATATGACCGATACTGTATGTATATAATAAATTTTGTACAATTAAAAATCAAAGTGGATTTACTAAAATGAACACAACGTATTAATTATAAATTCTGAAATATATTATTAATTTCAAAAACAAATAAATAATTTGGATGTACGTGAACTTGGGTAATGTATGTATAATTGTTTATATGATTCCTCAAAGTATCCCTTATATAACACTGTGGAACACAACAAAACCTTAGTGCGAATATATCAGGTTTGATAGCTGTTGGCATACCAATAATGCCTCATACTCAGATTTACTAGATCAATTCGTGTTCTCCGAGAAAAAAATTTTCACGATCCAAAAATCTGAAAAATCTTTTTTCTCCAAATTTTGAACATTTATCGTTTTTGGCCTATATTTTATGGTAAATACCATACAAAGCAAATATAGGCCAAAAACGAAGAATTTTCAAAATTTTTAGAAAAGAATTTGGCCGCTATACTCAGATTTTTGAATCGTGACATTTTTTTTCTCGAGAACACGAATTGATCTAGTAAAACTGAGCATGAGGCATTATTGGTATGGTCAACAGCTATGAAACCTGATATATGCGCACAAGAAGGTCATATGAAAGAGGGGGACAAAAGATCACACGTAAATTAATTCCTCTATTTGGCCTGTACAATATAAGGGAAACATTTCAAATTCACAAGGGATAATTTTCTTAGTGATGCGGCTTATATAAGGAGTTATATATGCCATACTGTTCTAGCTGGGTATTCATCAGCTCAAAAATTTTAAGCATATTATCATATTTCTGTGAATAAAAACACGCCTTATTATATTATTTTAATTATCTACAACTTTATGAGACTACCAAGCCATATGTATACCTATTCAGATAATCGGAACGCTGTTGAGAAGGCATAAAATTTAGTACTTTTTCAACTAAAGGGCTTTTTTTCTTCCCGTTTTTCTTGTACTTCCAAAATACAATATTGACCTAAGGTAGTTCGATTTCGAGCTGTCACAACGTACAACATCTTTCATTATTGCATCATGACTACGACCTATACTTTTATTACCTTTTCTTAGAACACCGCTTTTGAGTTTTTCGAAATATTTTCAATTGTATTTGACATAATATACGCACGTCAGAATCTTACAATAAAAACGGTAGAACATATAACTCTCGAATGAATACAACAAGTCGTTTATACAGAACGAGTATCTCAATATACATGCAACGATTCGGTTCGTTTGAAATTGTACAAGTGTATGATTCAAACAAGGAAAACTGTTCACTGCGTTGACTCGGTATAAAATTTAAAAGCAAGTTGCGGCTCTTACGCTTGACGTTTTTCATGCATCAAATCATACGTACATTAGTTCAGTATAAACGAACTCCAAATTCAAGTAGCTCCTTTGTTTTTCTCTGATGTACATATCTACATACATACATATATATGTACAAATGTGTTAACTTAAACGACCCTGTAGTTCTGCTGGAGTTTTGCTGGTGAGCGGTACTGGTGATTCCATGCATTACAGATTATTAGGCGATTCGCTGGCGACAGGTTATGCGACGCCCGTATTGAAAATATCACATACTAGCGATTTTTTGTATTACTGGTCGTTAGGCAATGCGCTAGCGATTAGAATCGCCACTTTTGCACCAGGTAATCGCTAGCGAAAGGACAAACCACGCGCAACGCTCGGTACGCCTCAATGACATTGCCATGTTAAATTCGTTAGGCAAAGGAATTGGTATCGCTAATATCGGGTGACCGGTACTCACTACTGGCGGGTCAGCGAAATCGTTAGTGGTATCCGGACGGGTACTAGCGACAAAAATTGCGACACCAATTCCTTTGCCTAACGAATTTAACATGGCAATGTCATTGAAGCGTACCGAGAGGGTGCGCGTGGTTTGTCCTTTAGCTAGCGATTACCTGGTGCACAAGTGACGATTACTAATCGCTAGTTCTTTGCCTAACGACCAGTAATACATAAAACCGCTAGTGTGAGATATTTTCAATACGAGCGTCGCATAACCTATCGCTAGCAAATTGCATAACAATCGGTGATGCATGGAATCACCAGCACCAGCTACCAGCAAAACTCCTGCAGAACTACAGGGGAGCTCTTCTGCATCCTATACATACAAAAATTACATTACATCCATACATACGTATGTACATACATATGTACATTAGAGTGGTCCAAAAAATAAAGTCGGAGTTTAATGCCGGGATTGTTCTATATCGAAAAAAATATAGCCGTAGTTTTTTATTTTGAAATCAGAAAATATTTAGGTAGTGCTCAAAGCGCTCGAAGTTTTCCATGTGTTTTATATGGAGAAAAAACAAATTTTCGTAGAAATGGTATAAAACCCTTGAAAATCTAAATTTTTCGAACGGAGAACTGTGGTTCTCTTCAGGAGACTTCCAGTATTAATATCCAATTGTTTATTTAACCATTTTTTATGATTAAAGATTTTTTATTGGTACCACCCCCCAATGCATTTTCTAAGGGCTTTGGAGGACCTAAAAATATAGTTACCACGAAAAAATTGTTAAAGAAACAATTGCGTATTATTGCCGGGAATCTGCTGAAGATAAGCAAAGTTTTCCGATCGAAAAACATTGATTTTCCAGAATTGTACACTATTTCTACGAACAGTTGTTTTTTTCCCCATATAAAATACATGGAAAACTTTGAGCGCTTTGAGCACTCCTTAAATTTTTTTATTTCAAAATAAAAAAATAGGGGTATATTTTTTTCCGTATATAACAATCCTAGGGGGCGGCGGCATTAAAAAGCCGACCTTATTTTTTTACATACATTTTAGGACCACTTTAATGTACATATACAGCTTGAAAACAGTTGATTGAAAGTACGTACATCGAACGAGTCATACGTACTTTTATGCTTCATGTTCAACTCATTGACATGTACATTTTTTTCGAACCAAATCTTGGTTGCGTATATTTTAAACAAGCTTTCCTATCGAACAGCTTTTCATGAAACATATACTTGCTTCGCTTGTATTGCCGTACTGGAGTACAACTCATTCGTATGAGTTGCCTTGCAACGTGTTGGCTCGAAACTCGAAATTGTTACTCGAAGCATATCACTGATTTGTACTTCACATTTAGAAATACATGCATATGGGCAAATCTAAAAAACAGGTAACCTTGGTGGTTTTTAGCTTTGTTTTCACTGTTGGAAACTATATCAAGCTGGTTGCTTTTGGATATAATTCATTGACGTATACTTGAAGCCTCAAACAAAATTTGTATCAATTTGCCGCATAACTTTTCAATTATAGGTGTTTAAATAAAAAATAATAATGAAAACAAGTGAATTTTTTATGTAATTTTTAAGAGGTGAAAAATTAATTATGCCATAACTTTTGAAGCACACCATATACTGATTTGAAATTGTATGTGCAATTAGTACTTATGTGTACACTTCAAATGTAGTAGGTATGAAAAGTGTGCATTAAAAAATAAGGAAATGGCAAGTAACTCAAAGTCTGTAATTCCACATTTCACAATTTTCAAAATTTTCGGTTTATCGCGTATAGTTTTTGAAGCATTTAAGTTTAAGAACTTTTTAAGTATGTATTGTATACTACAAACAATTACGAATAATTTCATACCTGAGCAATATTCTGCGATCTTGAGCGTAATTTTTATTCCAAAAACACTTTAATTAAATCCGCATTTGGAAAACACGTCGAAACGATCTAAGTCTTTCTATAACTGCTAGTCCTTATAAAATTACATATACCTGTAAAATGCTTCAACAAATTTATCTCTAGAAGTGTGTAAAAACCCTGATTTACTACTCTTAATGATGCTACTTCTTTTAGTCAGAATATTTCGAGAGTGGTATCAAAGCAACTTTTTTTCGACAAATGTTCTGAGAGTTGCTCTTACTTAATTGGAGCCTTCTGAATTCAATGGCGTCCTAAGTTTTACCCTATTGGCTCCACTTTTCGAGATAGCGGTACTTGAAACTTTCCTTAAATTTTAACTATTTTATAAAAAAAAGACCCTGGGTTTTGAAGATAGTTTACTAAAATTTTGCACATAACCGTTTTTTAATATTACCTTATTTATTCCATAAAATCATCGAAATCGGTTCACTAAAACATATAGCTCCCATACAACTGATTGATCTGAGACGTTGTTTTGCGTTAAACAGGTTAAAATTTAGTATAGGTTCAATTTAACATATATATACATATAGCACGCATACAATTTATTATTCAGATATGAAGTTAGAGTTAGTGCGCAAAAACACATATCTGAGTAATCAGTTGTATTGGAGCT